GCCACGCGTCTCTCCTCTCTCACCTGTCTCTTTTTTTTTCTCTCTCTCTCTCTCTCTCTCTCTCTCTCTCTCTCTCTCTCTCTCTCTCTCTTATATATACACGCCCACCCTTCACTGATTGGACGACTTCTTCGCCGCATGCCTGTCCTCATTCACTTCCGCCTTTTCTCTATATAAACGCGTGTCAGCTCTCTGTCAGGTTTTGGTACTCAGCGCATACACAAGACGCTCCGCATTATAAGGCGTGCTGTCCACTATGGAGAAAATTTTAGACTTTTAATGGCACCTTATAGGTGTGAAAATACGGTACACACGAAAATAAGACAATACCAAAAGAGCCGACGAATATAACTAGCGCACTAAGACTAATACGAGAGCGAAAATACCGACACACGGGCAAAAGCAGTGGCACGGCAAGCAATTCTCCGGCAAGTAAGAGTCAGAAAGACAGCCCTAATAAAGCAGGTGCTTAATGACAAATAGGTTGCAGGTGTGCAGCCAGCCAGAATGCACCGCCTGCCACCTGCTACCGAAAATGGGACATGACACATATCGACTGGTTGGGTGAGTTCCCATGTACCCTCGAGGACACTGCTAAGGGTGTAGAGCTGGCCCACTGTTCCACGAACGGGACGAAAACCACACTGCTCCTTCTGAATCTGAGGCTTGACTTCCCGACGGACCCTCCTGCATCCCTGAATTCATCTTACCAGGGAGGCTGAGGAAAGTGATCTCTCTGTTGTCAGAACACACCCTCCAGTCCCTCTTTTGAAAAATAGGGACCACCACCCCAGTCTGCCAATCCAGAGGCACTCTCCCCTATGACCACACGATGTTGCAGAGGCGTGTCAACCAAGACAGCCCCACAACATTCAGAGCCTTGAGGAACTCTGGGCGGATCACATCCACCCGTGGGGCCTTGCCACCGAGGAGCTTTTTAACCACATCGGTGACTTCAACCCCAGAGATAGGAGAGCCCTGCTTCAGCTTGAGGGCATCCCTTACTGCCGGTGTCCACCAATGACTGCGGGAGTTGCCGCCACGACAGGCACTGACCACCTTACGGCCAAAACTCAGATTGGCCGCCTCGACAGGAGAGGCGCGGAACATGGTCCACTCAGAAAAGCTCTGCCGGAGGTGGAAGTTGAAACATCTTCTGACAGGGGATTCCGCCAGACGCTCCCAACAAACCCTCACAATACGTGTGGGTCTGCCAGGTTGGACCGGCATCTTCCCCCACCATCGGAGCCAACTCACCACCAGGTGGTAATCAGTTGACAGCGGAGGGAGGCAACCCTCTCACCTACCGGTGTAAACCCCGATGGACAAGCACTGAGCCGGGGGGCAATGACTATACCCACACCTGCTCTACGCCTCTCACCGTGGGAATCCCATGAGGGAAATCACTTCCACTCTCATCTCGTGCGCTGATTCGCTAACTGACAATCATGATGGCCCGACATCTGTCAACCACAACCCCCCATACGCCCCAACAATAGGGTCTGACTTTACGATGCCAACTTCCCAACCAACGACGTCAGATTCCTGTGAAGAGGCCTTTTAATGTCTTTAAGTTGCCTACCTTAAAAAAACTGTGATTACTATGACAATTATGTATATGAATTCATATCATTTCTAACTGCAGCTATATTACACCTCCAAATACATTCAGTAAGATCAAATCAAGGACTAAAACAAAAATATACCCCACTTGGTTATTGTAGTGGCACTCGATTTCCAGCATATTTTAATTTGCATAGTAAGTAATATCATTTCAAAAATGCTGTTTATTGTCTTTTTAAGGGTATGAGAGTGGGACTTAATTCTTTCTGTTTTACAGGGCATCCATTAATGCATTTGCTGCTCTGCTGTCCTCAAGTAAGTTTGTCCAGCCATACACCAGCTGACAATCAGACTCCATAGCATTGTCACCATAGCAATCAGCTTTAGTCAGTTTGTTGTGTTTTGGTGTTAAATCAAACATGGTTGCAATGCATAGTATGGTTAAAGAACACAGGATTTGTGAATTGTTGCTATGTATATGTGTACACGCACACACACACACACACACACACACACACACACACACACACACATATATATATGTATATATATATAAACCAATTCAGGATTTTATTTTATTTTTTTAAACGCCCAAGAGAACTTCAGCCAGCCTGTGAACATGCGTGTGCACAAGTATATACCGTAAATTCCGGGCTACAGACTGCATCTGATTAAGAGCCGCATGCTCAGATTCCTTAAAACGCCCAGCTTTCCACGGTCCTCCCTTTTTGGTTATCCTGGGATCTCCCCCAAGACTATCCCACTTTGGGTCAGAGTTTAACCCGCACTCCACGGTCCTCCCTTTTTAGTTATCCTGGGATCTCCCCCAAGACTATCCCATTGTGGGTCAGTGTTTAAGCGCTAACATCCAGGCAAAGGTGTGAAGAACTGCCATTGTTTTGTAAATGGCGCCGTTACTGATGCACCACAGAGGGGAACGTGAGGAAGACACTATTGGCTGTTGTTTTACATTGAGACTCCCAAGAGACATTGGATCTTTCCTGATTTCTAGGCTGATTTCAAGTTGTTCTCTTGACATGGTGGCATGGTGTGAGTGCAACCAATTTGGTCCCCTTGTACGTTATAATTTCTCAATGGTGTAACGGTGACAAGATTTTCAAAAAAGAACCGGTTGCATTTGTGCAACCAGCTGTTCGGTGGCAGGGACAAGTAATCATATACTTGCGATTTTTGCCTAAAAAGACAGAGAGCTATTTTTTATTATCATTCAGACTCCTAAGAGGGACACTCAGGTGTCTCCACTCTGTTTCCCCCCCACAGAAAGCAAATATGTGTCACACCCTCCTTACTGTCCATTGCATTCTTCTGTACTCATCAACAAGTGGGTACTTAGCCACTCACAAAAACGCAGCTGTCCTGCACAATCTCAAATGTGGTGTCGACATCATGGACCTGGAGTTACTCAGTTACTTTGGGCGTGAAGGTACAAGGAGATGGCCGATGGCTGTGTTTTATAACATCCTTGACATGGCTGCCACAAACGCAAATGCTTTGTACACAGTATGTACAGGGTCAAAAAGTCGCCGATTGTTCATGCTGGAGCTTGCAGAGTAGCGCAAAAGGAGACTGATGCAGGAAAAAATTCAAGTGGGAGAGCATAAACAGCTGAGCCGTAACACCGGAGCAATTAAGCAAATGCAAATGCGCATCGAGATTTCTCTTTGTCTGGCCTCTTATTCTGTATTTCAGCGTTATTTCGTTGTGCAAATGCATTGATCATGTTCATAAAAATATGTAGATTATTTTAATTGTAAGAAATCTTGTGTTTTTTTTCTCCCAAAAATACTCACAAATAAAATATGAAATGTCGGGTTTGCTTCGGGCTCGGGCCTGCAAATCGGGCTCCGCCGGGTCGGGCTTTAATATCCCTGGGCCCGGTCGGGTCGGGCTCGATTCTCTTCTTGATCATGAGCGCTGTCTTCACCGCTTAAATCGCCGACACTTTTACCGGGAACGGGGGTGCACGGCCGGGCTTCGTCTGTGTCGCTGGCCCCCTCGTCACTCTTCGACCGGGATCGGATTCCGTGCATCTGGTATTCCGTGCATCTGGTAGCGAGCATAGCGAGGCCACTCCCCCGCAAGCGAGCCTTTGCTCTGGAGCAAATTTAATCCAGCTGCGTTCACACATGCACATTTGTTTCGGCGTAGCGTCGCAAATGAGCATTTGCTCTGGAGCGAATTTTTAAACCACCTCCCTGAGGTGGATCAAATTTGGTCCGGTATAAGCTCTTTAGTGGAGCTACGCCGGAGCAAATGTGCACGTGTGAATGCTCGACTGGATTTGTTTCGGAGCTGCGTCGGACCAAACGTTGCCGTGTGAACGGGGCTAATGTAAAACAACAGCCAGTAGTGTCTTCCTCACATTACCCTCTGTGGTGCATCAGTAACGACCCCAATTACAAAATAAAGGCAGTTCTTCACACCTTTGCCTGGATGTTAGCCCTTATACTCTGACCAACAGTGGGAGTGTCATGGGGGAGATCCCAGGATAATCAAAAAGGGAGGACCGTGGGGTGCGGGGTCAGTTTTGGACTGATGTCCCAAAAAGGGAGACCACTGGCAACATTTGGGAGCACCAAAACCTCTGGGTATGGCAGGAAGAAAAGTCAATTTTGTAATTATATGCCCCGCACCATAAACCGCTGGCCAATGAGTAGGCGGGGGTTTGCTACTGCGTCCCTGCCGCCTGGAGCACCTCCGGGTGAGGCCGCGGACGCGGTCCCCAGCTGAACCCCCGCAGAAAAAAACGCAAGATTTCTTAAAGTTAAAATAATCTCCATATTTTTATGAGCATGATAAATGCATTTGCACAACGAAATTACGCTGAAACACATAATAAGAGGCCAGAAAAAAAGAGATCTTGATGCGCATTTGCGTCATTACGAGGAGAAATACTGCAGCCCACTAGGCTTTAAATAGAAGAATGCAAATCATATAAATGGGAAAAGATATATGAAATTATTTCTATAGTCAGACGCTTAAAAATGATCATCGTTGGCAGCTTTAGGCCCGATGCTGCGCGGCTCAAAACACAGGTAAAATGTGTTCTCTCGTGGCCGCTTGTTTTCAGTATGACGGAGGAGTCACCTTTTTCATTTACAGTCCGAGTGAGAGGCAAATCAAATGTCAGAAGGACTTCGTCCATATTTATTATTTCATCTGGGCTGGTGGAATTCTCCGCTATCTTTGTTTGTGTGAATGTGCGGAACGAAGCAAGTTTGTCCTCGCATTTGGGAGGGAGCTGCTGACACAACGTTGTGAGTGCCCTAATAGACAGGCTTTTCCGTTTCATGAATCTCTAACACCGACGGCCCACCTTTAAAACCTTCAATGTTCATCTCGGTAGCGATAGATTTAGACTTCAGTCTGATTTGTACACTGGAAACACCGCGGCCGCCTGCTTTTTGAGTGTTACCCAGTCCTCCAGAAAGTTTTCAGGCTTAGGCCATCTGCTATGGTTACCTCTGAAAGCGTTGGTTGTCTTTTTACACTGGCTCAGTTCTTCTTGCCGGAGCCTCCACCTTCGCACCATCGACTCGTCTATGCCAAGATTACGGGCAGCAGCTCGATTTCCTTCTTTAACTGCCAGAGTGATCACTTTTATCTTAAAAGCTGCATCATATGCTTTTTGTCTGGTATTCTCCATGTTGATCAGGGCTAGAAGAAAGACTGAAATAAGGAAGTTGTGATTACCGGTAATCATACAATTTCATTGGACCCCTGTGCACTACTCATTCATGTTATTGGTCGACTGTTGCCGGGTAACACATTTTTCCCCGCTATGGTGAAAAGAGCGGAAGTTGTGATTAGTCATGCAATCTCATTGGACCTCAGTGAACTACTCATTGATTTTATTGGTCCATGTTTTTCCCGGGATGGAAAAAAAAAAAATTAAAAAGCCGCTTCATATTACACGCCGCAGTGTTGAAAGTGTGGAAAAAAAGTAGCGGCTTGTAATCTGGAATTTATGGTAATCTAATCTAACGTATAATATTTAGTATAATATACAGTAATCCCGC